ACTCACACACAGGCCTTACAGACAAACACCCGCATCTGTGTACGACTGTACAATTTATGGGAAATGACAATAAGATCACAAAACGAACCTGCCGACTACCCGCACGTCGCCGGCGGGCGGAGCTGGAGGTCGAAAGATGGGCGGCGGTGACGGGGTGATGGGCGGGTACTCCGGCGCGTGGGGGGGCGCGGGGGGGACGGCATCCCCCACAGGTGCCCGAGGCGGCGGTGAAGCGGGTGGTGGCGACCGTGAGGGGGGTGAGCGTGGCAGGGGTGAGGGTGGTGGTGGTGAGGGGGGAGGTGGTGCCGAGCGTGGTGGTGGTGGTGGCGGTGAGCGTGGTGGCGGAGAAGGCGGCGGCGGCGGTGGTGGTGGAGGCGAGGGTGGTGGAGGTGATGGTGGTGGTGGTGGCCGTGGCGGGGGTGATGGCGGTGAGCGTGGCGGGGGTGAGGGTGGTGGTGGTGGCGAGGGTGGTGGTGGAGCTGGGTTTCGGGGTGATGGTGATAGGGGTGGAGGGAGGTTGGGGGGCGGTGGCGATTGTGGCGGTGGCGGTGGAGACCTAAACACTCGGATGTGGGGCGGAGGCAGGCGGCTCATCGGGGGTGGTGGGGGTGGTAAAGGCGGTGGCGGCCTCCGTTTGCCCACCACTTGGGCTTCGCTCTGTCGCGATGTGGCCATCAATAGGAGAACCATGCTCAGGCTAGCAAATGGGAGACCTAGAAACATAAATTGAGGACGGTTGCTCTTCGCCCTCATCATGATCGGCAGTGCAACTAAGGGAAAGTGGAGTTACCAAAGCGCTGTTGCTGGTTTTGTCTGCGGCCTATCGGCGCTGGGTGGCCTTTGTGCAATACTACGTATATACTAACATGAAAGCCATCAGGACTCTCGATGCTGCAAGAGTCCCGGCGGCGTGTAGTCTCAGCACCTGAGCATCGCGACGGTACAATGTGACTATGAGTGACTCTAATCCCTCTGCACCAGAAGGTGGTTATGGAAATTAACCACATAAAGTATCTATATCTCTAGGAATGTCCTCATATTCGTTATGGACTTGTGAGGAAATGAGGTAATTGTACGGGTGGTGGTCAAACATCTTTGACCAACGGGCAAAAAATGCGGCATTCAGATGGATCTCATATATGGCGAAGGTTGAGCAAAGTACTCCCCCCTTAGGTATCACGGTTATGTAGTAGATAGCATGGTAACCGCACTGGCTTGCTGGGATCCTCTA